AGACACACTGCATCATTTAAGTACTGCAGCTGATGTCATTTCCTAAACACCACGGTTGGACACAAGTGTCTCTTAAGAATGGATAAATGAAAACACACACGCTGCGCGCACGCGGCCCCAGGGGAGAGGCTTCTCCACTGATCCTCTCAAAGCTCCATCTCCTCCACAAACACTCACCTGAGAGGAGCCCCTCCTCCTCCCCCCTCGCCGGACACATTAAATGGGTTAACTCTGTCACCTGGGGGGGCAGCAGCTGGGATAAACGCGCCGGGACCGGCGGAGAGAGCCCCTCCTCCAGTCGGACCGCAGCCTGATCGTCTCCTTCTCTCCTCCTGCGCGCTTGATCCAGCACAGATGACTGAACTTACATTTTTTATCTCGTTTATTTATTTCCTTGTCTGAGAGGAACGACCACCGGCAGCAGCAGCATCTCAGACCCAGACCCGTGGGCGGCTGCGTCTGGGAGAGCTGACAGGACGGAAACTGCTCCAAATACTGAAGCCATGGCGCTCAGTGGGGAACAGAACTGACTGTCAGGTGATTTCTGTGGCTCTGGACTTCTGCTGCAACGGATTTTAACCAGTTGATTTTTTTTTTTTTTTAAATAACTACCTGAACAGTGCGGTGTGAATGACGCCCTGGTGGATCCCCGCACACGGACTGCATGAGTCCAGCTCTGGGTGCTGGACGGACTCCTGAAGAGGACTGGACGCACCTCGGCTTACCCGCGCGCCCTCAGCCTCTCTGCCGCCGGCTTTTTAACGGGAGTTGGGGGAGGTGGTGGTGGGCTTTGACACCGAGGTGGGGGGGCGGGGAGCAGCTTCGCGGCCAGGTAAGKCTCCCGCGCGTGTCACTGTGCGTGYTGAAGGTGGCCCGCAGAGGGAGGGAGAGAGAGGCTGACTGCACCTGTTGTGATCTGTGTGTGAACGCGCCCGTGCGTGTGCGCGTGCGACCAAACACCTGTGTCTGAAAAATATCTGCTGGCGCGCTCCCTCTTTGAGCGGCTGTGATCGATGTGATTAGGTGATTACAGGTCCGTCACGCGCCAGAAGTGTAATTACGGTGTARTTGTCTCCGCACGCGACGGGGCGTAAAAGCGATCCGTCATATATCAGCCTCTGTGGCTCCACTCAGCTTGTTGCGGCGCATGAGGARCAGACTGCGGTCTGAAAGAGAAAAAAACACAAGTGGGTTCAGCCTCGGTGCCATGCTKCCTCTAAACTCCACAGTCATAAAACATGATGGTCAAATCTGTCACCTGCACCCTGCGCGCGCATTATCCCAAAGCACGAAGGGGCAGTGGATTATTGTGAGGGGTGGGTTACCGCAAAGGAAACTCCAGGTTGTTGTTTTTTTCTGTTCATGTGAGCCAACGTGTGTGGTGAGGGAACGGAGGGGGGGTTAGTGCGCAAATGTTTGTTCTTCAGACTGCGGAYTCCAGCTGCGCTGTCCTGTAGAGGCGCGCAAACCCAGTGCATCATGATGTCCAGCACTGTTTTCTCCCATATCTTTTTAAATGTCTTTCTAAAAACAAAGTGGGTGAAGGGGCGAACCAGCAGACTGACCCGGATGACCCAACTCGAACTTGTGCAGAGGTGGCAGGACGGGCTCATACAGGCGCCTCTGTTGATGAAATGTTGTTTTAGATGAGGGAAACAGCTGAGATGACTGTCTGTATTTGTCCAAGGTGACTCCAGGATCCTATCATGTGGGTGTGCAGGAGGCAGGTCGACAATATCTGAAGAAATTTCAAATCGTTCCACTGCAACACTGCCCTAAATTCWAACATAACTTTATAGCAATAAGAAAAAAATGATGCATGAAGGCAAACAAAAGTAAAAGAAGTGCAGCCAGTTGCTCATCATGGTCGCCATAATAACCATGCATATGCCTCCATAAAGATAGGCTGAAATGCAGACTAAAAAGTAAGGCTCAAACAGTGTGTAACTATTGTAAAAATGCTTCACTTCTGAACTGAAGTCGTCTCTGGCCGCCACGCCTGTGTTTTTATGTTTCWGCGTTTTATGACCAGTTTCTTCCAGTTTCGAAATGAAACTTTTAAGTGAAACTGTCACTAAAGTGCACAGTGGCACTAGAAGATCATTATCCAGTTTTTTTCTGTTTCTCCACTCCAACACACCGTGAYTGAATTACCTCTTCAAGTTCTGCAAAAGCCTATTCATTTCTTTACATCAGGTGTGTTGGAGCAAGAGATCACCTGCGGGATGGTGGCCCTCGAGGACCAGGATTGTCCTGCTCCTGACTCTGAGAGTTTGAGATAAAACTAAGTCCTACAGTGACACTGGGTGCAAGAAGACAAAAGAAAGAAACGTATAATTTTGTCCTGGTTTCCAAAGTTGAATGCAGAACTACAAAATACTAAAAGATTCACTTGATAGAATGAAAACCTGGCAGCAACAACTTACAAAAGCAAATTTGAGATGAAACAGAGAACCATTTGTAAAAAATTTGGTAAGTTTTAAACAGCTTAAAGGATAAAGTGGCATCATCAAGTTGAACTTTCTGCGTAAAACATGAGAAAAAGTCTAAAACTTAAACTGCATTTGTGTAAAAACCGTAAAAGGCATGACRAAGTAGTTTTAGTCTTAAAAACTCCAACTTTCTCTGACTTATTTAAACACTGAAAGCTGTTTTTACCATGCAGTATGTCTGAATTAGAGCAGTAAAGAGGGCCGGGTTCTCTCAAYTGTTTTGTGAAATTGTTAAATAGGGAGTTTTCTTGTTGTTTTTATGTACAAAGCGCTGCAACCAAAAGCTAACTGATTTGCATGTTTGCTTGTTTCCCGCCAAAGCTACAGGAAATGTGTGTCACCACTCATTGGCACACARTTTGAATGTCGTTTCTTATTTTATTATCAGTTCAACGTCTGTAAATCTAATAAGAAGYGATTTTGCTGTTGGTTAAGCGTTGATGCAACACATGCCCTCCTTTGATGAATATTTATCCTCCTCCGTACCCAGTTTGTTTGGCTCTGTGGTTGTTGCATGATGGATCACAGAGAAGCAGTTTATCATCCAACTGCGGAGCTTCGGCTGATCAATGGAGGGCTTGTATTGTTTCTGTCAGGTGGCTGCAGGACTTTGTGCTAAAAGTGGAGAAGACACGCAGAGCATCCTTATGTTTTAGCGGCTTGAAGTAAACAGAATTATTTGATGATTTATCTCTCATCTTGGTCCATCGGAGAGAGAGAAGAAAACTCTGGATAGAATTAAATCGCTCTTGCTTTCTGTTTGGGATTAAACAGGAACAGTGTGTTTTTTTTAATGATCTGAACATTCTGGGACCGTCTGGCCTGTGGATGGGCTGCTGGGACCAAAACCACTGTTCTGACCCCTTTCTGTCAATCTGGTAATGCATTTTTTTTCTCCGTGGGGAAAATGTGTGAAAAGTGCAAGAAAAAAATATCTTCTGTCCAAACTTTTGGCTCCGTCTCAGTTCTTTCTCTTCATTTGAGCCTCTCCTTTGGGTTTTAATCCTTTCTCAGCACCTCGCTGCAGACTCTAAACTGGACTCTCGGGTGCGCGGGTGACACCGAGGTTCAAACACTGTCAGTCAAGCCCAGTTTCATTTGCGCCTTTCACCTCCTAGCTCTCCTTCCACCAACTCAGTCCATCCATCAACCCAAATACCTGTCTTTCTTCATGCCATTCCTCAGACAGTGGAAGCGATGGAGCCTATCAGATGAAGGTTTTCTGCTAAGAAACTGTCTCTGTCAGCCCTCGTGTCTATCTATTTGACAACAGTCACTGATTTCACAAGTTGGGGAGAAAATCTAAAAAAGAAAGAAGTTAACAGGGAGTGACAAATAAAGGGGAACAGAATCAGAATGGCTGATTTGTGCGGATTTTGCCGTGAGTGGGTGTTTTSTGCCAGAGGCGAGCAGATGGACCGTCAGACGATCTCTTATTGATTTCACATCATATATTCGATTAATTTGTCTGTTGATGGATTTCAATTGAGCGCTCACAGAATTTGGGGAATGTAAAAAGCTGCAGAAGAAGAAAAATCACCTGTGGTATTTTCATTATTTTCAATATTATTGACAGATTAAATATCTCCTATTCAAATAGATGAAATTAGTTTGCAAACATTTACAGAGTCCACGTCTAAATTAAGGGTTGATGTCGCCGGAAAATAATCAAATGGAAGGTGAAGGGAAAAATTTCTATCGATTGAGCCACAGCAAACAATTGTAGCATCTAATTAGGTTCACTGAGAATGTATTTTTGTAACTTTCATTTGTCAAATTGCCCCGAAACTGCTTTATGAAAATGTCATTTCAGCATCGTGATTCCTCCTCTTCTTTCCAGCCTTCATGTATAAATCAGAAAGGATGAAACCTTTCTCTGCTGCTTGCGTGACAAAGAAAGAAATGTCATCTTTGGTTTGGTTTCCAAAGTTTATCAACCATGACCCGAGTACAGATGGAAGTTTTACAGCAGTCAGTCTGTGGAACCATCGGAGTGCAGAGAAATATAACGTAGCTGGAGCTGGTGGTTATTTCCAGCCACCAGCAGGTGAGAGATGAGTCCACCCTGCAGGTCATCAGTCCATCACAGCGACATATGGAGATGAAGAATTATGCACAAACTCATTTTATATTTATAGGGATAGTTTCGATTTTCTAACATGTATGTTTCTGAGCTGTGAGAGCTTAGAGAGAACCTCCAAACTCCACACAGGAAAACTCAGACTGAGGTTTTCTTACTGCAGAGCCTCAGTTTGAACATTTAAAAACCTGAATTAAACCCATTTTTTTCTGCTTTTGGTTCATCCTCAATAATGTTGTTTTATTTATGAATTACCTGACATGTTGGACTGTTTTTGCTTAGTTTTTGCTCGTGGCAGTTACTCTGCTAGCTGTCAGTCTGATTTTAATATATTTTAAATGACCATTGTAGCCTATGTTAAATTATTTTGTCACAAAAGCAATGCATACATTGAATTAGAATATGAAAATTATGTTTTTTATAAAAAATACTGTGAATGCTGAGTGTTGAACGGCTTTGCTAAAATTGAACCGTTGAAGTTAAAACAGCTGAAGCTAAGATGAACAGTAGCTGAAAGCTAAAATGAGCAAATCTGTTGCTAAAGGTGCATCGCGGTGGCTCAGCTGGTACCTGTCACCTCTCAGCAAGAAGTTTCGATTGAATCCTGGTGAAGAGAATCTCATTTCTTTTTCTACGTCTCCAAACAGCGTGTAACATCACCAATACTAGTTGATAACAGAATAATCAACTTTCCCGATGGTAAACATCCTGGGAGGTGTAGTCCCAGCGAGTTTGCAACTTCCTGTTTCCTACAGTCTGACGTAATGACACTTTGCGTAGCCTGGCTGATTTGTTTGAATTAAAAGAGCAATTCCTGTATCCGCGTCGGGATCTGGAACAACATTCAAATTTAATGGTTTGTTCCTTTGGCCATAACCCACATATGGTAAAAATTTCATGATAATCCGTACACAAGTTTTTGAGTAATTTTGTCAACAGACAGACAGACAGACAGACAGACAGACA